TGGAAATGATTAATCTTGGTCTAAGAAGGTCGCAAAAATGCTTTAGCGTTTTTAACGGTTAACCAAATTTTATAAATGATTGTAATTTCATTGTCTTTGGACGTTTGTCTGTTGTGCTTTTCGCCAGAATAAAAAAGTCCAGAAAGAATTCTAAATGGAAAAAAATAAGATACGTTAAATATACACATTGCGTAAACGTACACGTGCGAGCTTGCGTAGATGAAACATACGCACATATACGTATATACATATGCATACACGCACAAAACACGTCGCACGCGTATACACACAGGACGTAATTTTTATCACGGTCATCTTGAATATTTCCGCTACTTTTGAAGATATAGAATAATTTATTTCTCTTAGAAAATAAAACACAAGTTCTATTTCCTACATCATATATTTCATGATTTCAAGGTTATCGATGTATTTTCCTTAGCTTCGCGCGAATTTTGTCATGAAAAATCATTGAGAAATAGTTATAATGAAACGAGGATTTATTTCGATTTAGTATTTACAGTGATAACTGCTTGTCCGCCGGTTAATACTAGGTAGAAAAAGATTCTCGTACACCATGAGAAACTGATCGTACAAGTATTATTTGGAAAGTTTATCATCATAAAGTTTAAACTCAAAAATTATAATGTTCACGAATACATAGTACAACACAGAATACAAATTTCTTTTTTATAAAAATATATTACTATTTAATGTACCGTAGAGATATTTTTACACGTTGACTGCTGCTTGGCCACTTTTAAAATTAGCGAAAGACAAAATATCGTGTATTTTTAACCTTAGTTAATTTGTCTCTAGATATTGAACGTGTGCTAAATTTAGAATGGAAGTACGGCAAAATCTCGATTATCCGAACAATGCTACTTAAGTGCATTGTCGACTGCAGTCATAAATAACTTCCACCTATAAAAAAGAAAATACATCTTTTCTAAGGAAACTATATATAATGTATTCCAGATCAAGCGACCATGAAATTAAACCGTTGACGAATAACAATAAAGACTGTGCAACAGATTTAGAAAGAACAAATTTAGAAAAGAAGAATGGAAGTTATAGATGACGTGCCTAACAACAACACGTTTCGAATGGTATAAAAGGAAAATTGAAAGTTGATCCAAAATTATTACGGTATATAAAAAGAGTATTTGCACACTCAGGTCGCTTACACTGATTATATTGAACAGAATAAAATATATGTAATGATAAGCAACATATTGTTTAAAAGTTTCTTAGTGGACTGCGGATTGTATGTATTTATGGGAAATACGAATACAGAAAACATACTTAAATGGAAATTTTAGTACGATTACTAAGGTTGTTCATTTACTTTTTCTTTAATTCTTTCGGTGCTATATACTTTTGACGCATACACGGCGTATACAAGGAATACTCTCCTGTATGTGGCGCGCCTTAGCACTGGATACTTTTTACAAAGCATGACGGGTAACTTCATAATTTCTTTTTGTGCATGAGATGAAATACTGCTGCAGGTGATCGGTTCAGCGGTCGTACAACATGCTCATAGCGTTTACAGTGTATCATTAATTAGACATCCTTACACGTTCGTAACACCGAAAGGGTTAATAAACTCCCCAATAATTAATAACTCTTCCTTCTGTTCTAGTTTTTGTAAAATGGAGTATGAAAACAGACATTTTTATGAACTTCTGCAGTCCACCTGTTACAGTCTGAGATAAGGTAACAGAAATCTTTATCGACTAATCGAAAAATTGATGTAGTTATTTTAAAAAACGAAAAGGAAAGCTGTTCTATCCAGTAGTTTTACAACCGAACGTTTGTTAAAAATATTTTGAAGCGACAGAATGAAACCCAAGTGAAAATCAAATTTTTAATAATGCTTTGTACATGTACGGATATTGCGCGATACATAGTTATTATTGCATTAAAATGTCCTCGTTTAATTATTCGTATATCGTTATAAATGAGGTTTCATTATATACAGGGTATTATATAGCAGCGTCTCTTAACAAGCGGTACAAACTGAAGACTAGTGATTCTATGTCAAACAGTACAGACTCCTCTCGATTATTGTCCCGAACTCAGGTCTGCACTGGGATAACAATCTCATAGGGTGAAACGCTTGAGACCCTCGTAAATTCATTTTTTGCCCGAAGCCCGAGCCTCGGCAACAAAAGCGGAGAGACAACAAAAATTTGCGCTTGAAATGTTCCACGGCCTCCCCCACCAGTGGTGAAGATAACGCCTGTACAATAATCGTGTAGAACAAGCCAGACAATAATCGAGAGGAGTCTCTAATAAGGGAACTTCGGAAACCCGAAAATTCTGGTGTTTCTCATCGTTTTCGATTTTTAAGGAACATCAATACAGTCAGTACTAGGCAATCTATAGGATAATACGACTTTCCTATTCTCTCGTATCTCATAAAAGGTATAAGAAATGTCGATAGACTTTTGAACGAAGATATAAAGCCCATCTATATAAACCGGGCTGTGTCCGTTCTGTGTTAGTTTCGTTCGTTCAAGTTTCCTTGAAAATCGAAGATGTAGATTCTTTCAGGTTATGTCATTGTCAAGAAAAACGGGTATGAATTTCGGTTGCTTATATCACTGTATTTTGGTGAGAAATTTCAACGAAAATGTATCCCGACAAAATTCAAACTCACTTTTCCAGAAGGGGAATTTACAAAAAGATGTCATTCTACTTTTTCGGCTTATTTCTTCGCATAGAGTTAGCAGCCTTCGGTTTGTACCACAAGCTATACGAGAACCTGTAGGTACTATTCAATGCAGTCTAAGAAAATTGTTGCCCCTATCGTGTTAGTGTTGCAACCAATCAAAATTGTATTTGTTAATCTCTTTGTAATCACGACGCCATTCCCATTACATTGGCAAGAGAGATAGATGGTAAGCGCACCTTGATATGATCTTTTTCGATGCCGAGAAAAAGATAGAGAGGGATAGCTATAAGGGAGTGAGAGGGAACAAGTCAAAAGCGAATCGACAGCCAATAAAACGATCACAGAACAAACAATCGCATTCATTAATCTCCGTTCTCCTGAATACTAAGCGTGTTAATCTTGTTAACGACAGTCAATCAAGATGGCTCAACGCTTAAATACAATTCAAAATGGGGAACAATAAACTTGGTTATCGTCGTGCATCCACCAAATCGTACTGCAATGTCTGGCGTATCGATCGACGCTAAAGACTCTTGACGGCGCCAACAACAGTACAATTGCTGCAACCTCCATGCTGTGTCAATGATCCAGGACTGGTTTCTCGTTCCCATGACAGATTTTTTATGTACCTTCAGGCGTTAGTACTTACTTATCGCTGAGTTGCAGTATGCTGGGCGATCCTTCGCCTCAATAATACCCGGGTATACATAAATGATTCCGCCTGTGTCACTCATGTTGGTAACTGCCAATTTTAATTACACTAAAATAAGTCTAATACCGTGACATAACCATAAAGCAGAGCTTCACCAACCAAATTCGTACCAAGGGCGTTTTTAAGTGTACCGTGTGTACAGTTCGGCCCTCATCACAATCCCGCTGAGCCCAATCAGTCTCTCTGACACAGTCCCGTCGTGAAGCCATACAAAAATACGATACTACCCCACCGTATATACCTCACTCTGACATAAAATTTCACTTCGAATACATCATACAGTGGACTCTAACTATATTGCCACTAAATATATTGCCACGCGTGGCACTTCCTGTTCACGCGTCCTTTTTTGTCATTTTATTCCTCTACAGTACCGACCGTGGCAATATACTGAGAGTCCACAGTATCTAATTTTACTTGCGGGAAAGTATGAAGTAAAAAAGTACGATACTTGATTGTGTACAACCGACAATTAGAGGCCTCGGTTGGCAGGGGCTGGACTAATCGGTAGTAGACGTTATACACTGTTGTCACTATTGGCTGCTACAAGAAGATCTGGATTCTCTTTGGTACAGACTGTGTCAGAGTGCTCGTAAACTCGATGAATTACCTTGCTTCAGTAGGTGCTCCCAATATACTAACATAAGTACATGTTCTGTAGTTTAAGGGGACGTGTTATGACTTCTTGCACTGCTATTTGAAAAAAGATTCTAGGCATAATCTCGTATCTTAAGTCTGAGGCCACAACAGTCAATCCGTATTACTCACCCGTTTGACCTGGTTCTATGTTTAAAGAATATCTTTCAAAGTGTCCCCAAGATTGTAAATTCCTACAACTCGTCCTACTAAATGTCAGAATACGTGAATTACATGTCCATTTATGGGATCGGTTTTAACGGGATTTGACTGATTAATATTGTTCATTGTCGAGCCACAAACTGATCACCGCTGTTATGTCACACACTAGTAACTGCGAAAAACATTAGATATCGGTGAATATTCACCGCCGATTCGTTTTTTGCAGTAAAAAATCGGATAACTGCTCTATCTCACAATCAAGACATTCGCGCGAATGGTACCATTTCTGGGGACATTGTATCACATTATAATATTACATGATATTGCATGATATTAGATTATATTTATTTCACACGTGTCGTTTCCACTCTGTTGCTTATATTCCAGGAGAAAAAAAATTGGGACTCTTGCTTTTGAGACGGCCATCGTACATATAACCCGCAGTCCACTTACCACAAATAGAAGTCATTTAAAAAATGAAGTTATACATTTTTTCATTCGCGTTTAATCGTTTGATTTATCTTCCAAACCGTTAAATTTGCTCCGGTTTTGGATATTTCCAATTCCCTAAACGTGAAGGTTATCGTTCTCCTTTCTCACAGGACTCCCACCACAAGCGTCCAAAGAAATGAGAGAGTAAAAGTCATGTTAGAATGTCGTGTTACCTGCGTTACTTCGGTGGGTTTCACTAGTATCATTCAAAGGTATATATTAACACCTTGACACAGTACGGGTTATAGTAGCGAATTAGGAATCTGATTCATAAGTAAATGTATAATGAATGTATTAAATATTGTTCTTTCACATTAAGAAATGTGGTGTCTTATTTTAATTAGTTATGGTAAGTGAAGTTTTATACAATGAAATCTATCTTACACGAGACTTGACAAAATGTGAGAACAACGAAAAAAAACTGATTACACTACTGTAATACAATAGAGCCTCGGTCTTTGAACACTATTTATCCGAATATCGACTAATCCAGTATATCATTTGTATTGTTATAATAATAATAATAATGTCGTTATTATACATTACTCACAGACACAAATAAACATATAGCGAATACTATAAATAATACAAAGAAAATGCCACACGTCAAATATTGACTTATTTTATTAACAGTTACTGTTGCACATTCATTACGTTTTGCGACCTATATTTCTTCCGGTGGACTACACGGAGAAATTCGATTCGAAAAAGCCACAGAGAATTCTGTGAGAATTCGATTTTCCCTTCAAGCTACTTTGCAGTATCCAGATCAGCAATGGTTTTGGTCAGTTACTCAGTTTCCTGTTGATTATACGATTGTAAATAATAGATGCGACGAACGACACGTTGGAGAAAGGTATCTACATATTTTCAAATTCCGTCGGTATATGTTTCTGTGTATAAGAATAATTTAATGTAATAACATTATAATACTACAAATTTTGTAGTATCATCGATTTGACAGAATTAGTAGGGCCAATAGATCTGCCAGGAAATGAGACAGGAACAGTAGAAGTAGCAGGGATATCCCTGACAGGAAAAATGGGTTTATGGGGCAAAGGTTTATTACTCAAGGATACATATTCATCTAGAACCATTTGTGCCTCGATTACGGTAATTGTTTAAATAAAGAGGATCAGTCCCGTATATATTTTTAAATTACACATGAAAAACTTAGCATTTTAATATTAATAATTTTCAGGTACTTGAAAAAAATATAGAAAAATTTGCAGAAGCACATTTTTATGGACCCATAGCTGGAACTGTTTGGTTTCGATGGCTAGGTGGTTATGCTGGTGACAATACTACTGACACAATAATTTACACAGATTTACATCATATTCATAAACAGAAATTGCAAAATATAGACTATACAGAACATTACTGGAAGATTTATGTAACTGATATTTTTGACATCAGTAAAGGTTTGAGTTTTTACAAAGTACATTTAGTTTATGAATTTATAGCAAACTACATTTGGAAAATTGATATTTTATTTATTATTTATTTACAATTTAGATAAATCAAGTTGCAACATTCTACAAACTGTTTTTGATCCTGATAATGCTGGTAGTGGCAAAGCCATTGGTGATATTGACATGCGTTTAGGCAAAGTAAAAGTAGCCACCAATCATCGTAAAAGGTATAAAACTTTATACAGGGATTCAAAACTGTCTCTACTACCTGCTGATTTACTTGGTCCTCATCGTCTGTTATATTTAGTAATCTTTCATCCAATGCACGATGATTCGTTTTTAGTTTGTACCAAGATTAATCACTGGAAAACTATTTCTGCCAAGTAAGATTTCATAAAAGTATTTTAAATTTCTACGTTTTTTGTTTTTCTGTTATTCCACATTTTATAATTTGTAGTTAATTTATATTATTGCTTACATTTGATTGTTTTTCACCCTTTAATTATTTAGAACATTAATTAATTCCCATGGTATAAAAGGAGAGGTGGCTTTGACTCAAGTAACTCCTTTCAATCCAACATGGATTAGTATATCTTTAACACCAGTTAATGATTTAGAAACGAGATTACGATATGCTACTAAAGTAGAATCATACAAAATTCATGAATTACCTCCAGAAACAACAAAGACTCAAAGTAACACTGCTGAAAGATGTAAGACAACTGGAAATGTATATAATCCAAGTAATATTGATGAAACAACAGTACCACCAGCAGGTTACAATTAATTGAACTGCAATTCATTAATTCATTTAGTATTGTAAGTACATATAAAATACTTAAAGCATTATATACATGAACTAGGATTGGGAACTCAAGATCAATATGCTGTTGGTGATCTTTCTGGAAAACTTCAAGGGCGCAAAGAAGGATCATATCATTACGATATTTTACCAGGGAGTGCCAAACTTAGTGGAATTTATTGGGATACATATCTTCCACTTTCAGGAATTCATAGCATAATTCACAGAGGTTTTGTTCTTCACAAGTAATAATATTTTCCATATTTTTTGTTTTATTTTGACTTTCACTCTTCTTTTTCACAAAATTATAAAATATTTCGTTTATTAGATATAATGAAACTGATAATATGAGCATAATACCTTGGGTGTGTGGTACAATGAGTCTACATTCACTAGATAATACTGAACAGGTACCAATGTTAACAGCACAAGTAATATACAGATATCCTATTGTTGGAAGAATAATTTTCCGTCAACCACAAAATGATCCTCAAATGGACACAACTATCTTGATTGAATATTTAGTGCATGCAGATGGTAATGCTTTAAATAACTCAGCATCACACAGGTATAATACTTGATATTTACACAACTTAATACTTGAAAAAGTTGTATTCAAGTCTTTTAAATTTATACACGTTTAGATGGATGATCCATGACAATCCACCAGGAAAAGATTACTACAATTGGACAGGCAGATGTTTGAGTACTGGGGATCCTTATAACCCTTATAAAGTATAGTAGTTATAAAAATCATACATGGAATTTGTAATAATTAATAAAACTATCTTTTCTTTCTAATATTACATATTCAAAATTTTTAGGTAGAGTGGGACTCAAAACATTCTGAATATTGTTCAACTGAAGTAACTTTATGTAGTGTAGGTGATTTAACCAGACATGGTACAATTGACATTGCTGGTAGAAAAATGCATGCATCCGTTTTAACTCGAACACTTCTTACGGACACAATGTTATCCTTATCTGGGCCTAAAAGTATATTAGGAAAAAGTTTGGTAATATATGATGACAATGGACCACGTGCAAGAGGAGAAAGGCTAGCATGTTCAATGTATGTATATTGTTTAATAAAATCTACAATATGTATTCATATTACTAATATGAATTAACAATGAACTTTTTATTCAGAATTAGTAGAGTATATCGTCGGAAAGCTGTAGTAAAAGATTGGTTTGGAAACGGGGAACCCATTTCATTGAAAGGAAAATTAGAATTTATACAACAAACTGAATACGATGTTACAAATGCAGAAGTAAATCTTGATGGTCTCAATGGACAAATGAAGGGATATCATATACATATGGTAAACACAATAAAATTAATAACTTCCATTTTTTTATGGTACTAATATAACTTATATGTATTAGACTCCGGTAGAACAAGATTTAGAGTTTCCATGCGAGGGTACTTCTTTATATGGACACTGGAATCCATTTGGTATCAATATAAGTAATACCCCACTTCCTGGGGAAGGAACAAGTGACCAATATGAAATAGGTGATCTCAGTGGAAAATTTGGAACATTAGAGAACAGAAGAACATATATATCAGCTTTCAATGATACGATTCTTCCTTTATTTGGATCAAGAAGCGTGCTGGGTAGGAGTATAGTAGTTCACAAAAAAGAAAAGGATTTAAGGTAAATACGATTTATCATCGATACGTTGATGTTCAAATTAGATAGACCTAACCCATATTAAACATGGATTGTTTAATCGTTATCACAACAGTGGTCAGTGACTTTAAACAGGAGGACAAATGTTATAAGAATAATAATGTTAAGAAACTAAAGACGAACATTTGGATATATACAGCTTGTTTTTTAAAACTCACTCTTCTTCCTTTACATTGTTCTAATCTAAGTATTTTCAATACTTTTTCAGTTTAGCAAAACATCAATATTCAATATCTGCGTAAATAACACGCATTTGGAAAAACACGGAGTTACGTATTGGCTCATTTTTATTTTAAATGCCCGAAAATAAAAATTTATTAACATGAATGATATTATGGCTTTAACATTTTCTTCTTAAATGCAAGCATAGTATTGTACTCGCGATTATTTAAAATCTAATTGCAATTATTCAATTTCATCGTAAATAGCAGATTAGCAAGATGTCTTACATACTTTATAATCCCTTTTTCTTTTAGGTGGGCATGTTCGTCTATAGAACGAGGATATTCACCATCTGAAGCTAGTGAACTACAAGCAATTGCTTCTTTTCATCACCCACAAGGGTTTGCATATGGTTACATAAAAATGGTACTGCAAATTCAAAAATATGTTGAGATATAAATTACCTTATCAGTAATTATTAATTATAGACTCAATTATTACATCGAGATGGCAGTGAAAGTGAAACCATAATTGAAGTAAAACTGCGTCATCCTGGCAGACATGACCGTAATGTTGTCAGTAATACTACATATGTATAGTATCAAACATTTACTAAGATATGATAGAAATTATTCAGAAAATTTTATTATAGACAAAAGATCATAAATGGGCAATATATGTTAATCCAGTTGGTGTAGATGCAACTGTACAAGTAAAAAACACTAGATGTGTAGCAGCTGGATATATGTGGAACCCCTATTTTACCCAACTGGCTGATCCTTTAAATGTATTATTAATTGAAGTTATTTCTACTGCCTTTAGGATAAAGTAACTGAAGCTTTTAATACTATAAAGTGATTTTATTTTTATTTCACAGGACGATCTCTATAAACAAGAATGTGGTCCTGACTTACCATTAAGATGTTATGTAGGAGATATATCTGGTCGATTAGGTCCTATTAATATAGGATTAGAAAGACAAGTTTTTACAGACTCAAACTTTCCTTTAGGTGGATCTATATCTGCTATGGGAAGATCTATCATTATTTTTGATCAAAGTTTTGGAAGTAACAGATTTGCTTGTGCTAATATCGAACCAAACAATGATATTGTAAAATATGCAAATATAAGAAAACCACCACGTTTCGTAGTGTCAGTACATATGAAATATCATATTTTAATGAAATTTTTTTACATTACCTTGGGTTAATTATATATATATATATTTCTTTATTACAGGGCTCAATTTTTAGAAGATGTGCGAAAAATTATGGGAATCCCTGAATGGATGTTATCTATAGATAATAGAAAAACAAAAATTTTACATAATGGTGCATGCATTCAGTTTCTATTACATTTTAAAGGTAATAAAAAACTTGTATAATTTATTTTAGTTCAAGGAATTGAACACATAAATAGTTCAACAATTAATTTAAACTTTTATGTGCAGGTCCAATTGCTAATACACTAGAACTAGATTTTAATAAACTTATGTCTACTGGACGATTAGATACACCTAGTTTATTCATACCTGGATATGTTCCTACAAAACGGAAAGTTACTTTGGGTTATCGTCAATGTGGAAGCCGAGACCCAAATGATGAAAGTAATAACAGTATATTATACAAGATTAATATTCAGTTTATCTACGGAAATAAGAACACATAATTTTAACATTTTTAGGTTCCCGTTTCTTGCTTCCAAGTATTTCACCACGATTATCACCGCAACTGATTTTCATTTTGACTATATTTATTACAAGTAATATAATATAATGTCAATTAAAAATGAATCTCATTATATCATTTATGTTATTTACATTATTTGGAACTGTTATATGTACCTTGAAAGTAGCTCCAAATTATGAAGATTTAATCATAAATAATAAAACTTTCTGTAAGTTTAAATTGTTTTTACAAAAGTTAAATTGTTAATACATAGTTGTATAAATTTATAAGTTTAATGTTTATATTTAAGACATTTATGGAAATAAAAAATATGATACATACACAACAAATTTTTTATATAAATATTTAATGTCTGCCATAAACAATTTGATGAAAGACTACAAATCCATAACTATCTGTTTCAGCATTTTGTTACGGTTTCGCAATTTATTAATGTTACTTTTTACATGATCTTGTTTTATTCGTTTTTATATCTTGCCTTACATTTGTATATTTGTAACAGATAAATTCAGAATAGATGTAGTTTCATAAATAGTTTATCAAATCTACCTTTTAGCCGGACTTACAATTTCCCTTGCGGGAATGCCCTACCAGCCCTACCGTAATGAGCCATCTCGTGGCCGCGGGATTCCGGGAATCGGGTGACGTCACGGCGTGCGAGCGAGAGCGGTAGAGCGAGCCGCGGTATCGGTGCTCTCCGTCGGTGTTGACGGGTGCCGAGGAATTTCGGTGGTCTATGGGAGGGAGGTGTGCGAGCGAGAGAGTACGGTAGAGCGTGCCGAGTATCGGTGCTCTCCGTCGATCCAACGCGCTAGTGAGTTGCG